GTTGTTGTTGTTGTTGTTGTTGTTGTTGTTGGTGTTGGTGTTGGTGTTGGTGTTGGTGTTGGTGTTGTTGTTGTTGTTGGTTGGTGTTGTTGTTGTTGTTGTTGTTGTTGTTGTTGTTGTGGTTGGTTGGTTGTTGTTGTTGTTGTTGTTGGTTGGTGGTGGTTGTTGTTGTTGTTCTTCTTCTTCTGAGAAGGCCCCAACAGCAAGTACGACCGACTCCCAAAACCAGGCACCAATACCGTGAACAAGCTCGGCTCTATTACGCACTCTGAACCTCAGCCAGTGCGTGGGTAAAGCACCTGCGCAGACAGTGTCCTTGGATTAGGCCCATCAATGCCAATCATGAGGCCGCTCCGCCTGCATGTCCGAACCTACACCGTCTAAATCCTCCTACATCCGGTTCCCCCCCCACAGCCTTAATGCTCTAACATCACCCTCGCCCTGACTATCCCCAAACCTCGGAGGTCTTCGGCCACTTCTTCGTGGAGCCACTCATCCATGTGGCCTCCGTGCTCGGCGGCCTCTTGTCCCAGGAGGTCATCAAGGCGATGGGACGCTATGGCGCACGCCTTTAACCCTACACCCCGTTGAGGATAAGAATTGTTTCGGTATACTACTCTTACCTGCCTGATGCTTGAATGAATTAGAGTGGTTCTGCAAATTAGGGTCCCTGTGCGGATGCCGCAACCGAGTGGCGTACACTCAAACGAAGAAGATTCATAAATTAGGACGACCCGTCTCAAGGCTGATGTAATGCTGCGTGCTAGCCTAGCATAGCCGGTACCAGTCTCGGCTTTACTCTTACACTTTGAGGTGTGCTCAAATGTTTCGTCGACTACGAGCGGATGCGCATTCCATGCGTGAATGCATGCACGCGCACACACACACAACACCAACAAACACACACACACACAACACACGCACACACACTCACACCACTACTGCAGAAATTCCACTGTTACATGCTGCTCAGTTAGATTCCGATGTTTGATGTACTTATTCTTGGGTGCTTGCCGGCAACGACATAATTTTTGGTTTGTGGTACGTGACAGTGGCGACGTTAAGAAGGGTCTGGACGAACTTTCAGTTTTGGTTTCATTCGACGTTGCTTCCGCGAAGTGCTTGCAGCAGGTTTTGTCCTTCAGAAACAGAAAGTTCATCGGAATGAGCCGGGGAGTGACTTAGATGTTGCAGGCCATAACACGAAAAGATCCGCCCCTTGCCACGGCCTCAGCTGCAATACCATCCGCGGGGTGATGGCAGCGAAACGGCCTTTTGCTTTCACTGTTTCATTGCGCGAGTATAGGACTTCCTCCCTCCGTGGAGGCACTGTGCACGGCTTGTTCCTTTTAGCTAGGGATGCCGTGTCCGCAAACACAGGCAACAGCTGCAACATGCCGTTGGGCTTTGATCTCGACATTTTTTCAGCTGTCTTCTGGGGTTCAGCACTTTTCCTCAAGACTTCAAGGCCCGCAAAGCACTGTAGCTTCTCCAGATTCGACGGAGGATCCTTTGAGTTGTGCTCCTGTCATAGCACTCATCTCAGCGTGCTCGGAGTGGCTTATCACGGGCAGCAGAACTTGGAGTTCCAGACAACAAGGGATCCAATATAGGCCATAGGCATTCAAACTGCGGCATTCTTACTTTAAGGATCTGAAAGTCCTCTAAACCCTAAACCCTAAACCCTAAACTCAGTAACCAAGGTCAATAGCGTTTGCTTCAATGCCTACACCAGCGCCGCACTGGTGGAGCTCCTGCCGGAGGCTGGGAGCCGCAAGAGTGAGAATGAGCCTACTGTAGAATAGTTTAGGGTTTAGGGTTTAGGGTTTTAGGGTTTCAGGGTTTCAGGGTTTAGGGTTTAGGGTCTATAGTCTCCATTGTAGTGCCTTTTTTTGGTTTAACCAAATATATATTAAGGATCTTATAAGGTATCCCCAAAAAGGAACTACAATGGAGACCATAGTTACACAGTAACCTATCGGAGCTCCGGAGTTTGGGTGCTGCCGTTTTAGGTGTAAACAAACGCTTTGAGCTGGCTTTCAGCGATTTGGGTGTTACGCGTTGTGTTTACAGTGCTGTGAACCTGTTCACGAAGCCTGATGGAAAAATGAAAACTGCGCACTCATAGCTGTGGCTGTGGCATTGAGTGTGCTTTCGCAGTGCATGATAGTGACTGATAGTGATAGTGCGTAACATAGTGCCTTGCCCTAGGCAGAAAGTTTTGCTGATTGCCACCAGCATTCAGGCACCCCCTGCGCCAAAGAAGCGAAAATCCGTGGAGGAGCTGCATCTCCCTGCTTTTAACACACTTTCGGATATGTATGAGATTGTATGAAGAGGTTGTAGTAAAGTTTTGTGTACACGATGCTTCGCCCGGCGGACAACAATTGTGGCTGCCCGGGGCGCCCGCCGGGTTTGACCAGAATCGGAATCAGCAGGCTGTTGACATTCGATTTTCCGTCCTTAGCCTCATTGCACCTGTTCACGGAGGAAGTCGCCGAGTTGCTGGACGACTGAGGAGGAGCGGAAAAGCGAAGCGGGAGGAGGAAAAAGATGTGCTTGTGCTCGGGGCTGCGGCCGTCTCTGGCCCCAAGCTTCCACAAGTCAGAAGTTGCCTCGCAGCCGCGGAGGCCCGTACGCCCCGCAGGGAGAACTCGGAGCTGCCGGCGGCAGTCTCAGCACTCGTTTCAGACTGCTCAGAGCGGACTGTCCTTGCTACCCTGAGGCAGTCCCGTCTTTTGCCAGTGCAAAAAGCGGTGCAGAGCCCAGCAGATTGCTGCATCAGCATCTCACTTGTATGTTTGTTGCACTTCAAAAAGTCTGACACCGAGCCCCTGAGATCCGAATTGGAAGTTTAGAGCATACGATCAGCCAGTGATGAAAGTGAGGGGCGGCACTGGAAATCCCCTGAGACTCGATCATCATCATGACACATTGTGGATTCAAGAAATGCATGCGGATTTGGGCATGGGGTGCATGGATGTCCACGGCATGTGCATGGGCACAAGCATGTCAATGTACATGCAGCTTGGTTGTCTTCCATGTAAATAACTACTTGGGTCGGTAGCTCCGCGCTCACAGGCGGGCCGGCGCAATTGTAGTAGACGGATGTCGTCGCCAACGAGCTTGGCAAAGGCCGTGGCGAAGGCTAAAAAGGACGAAACGTCCGCTGGCGATCCTGAGCAGTTGATCCAAGCCTTTCGAAAGATCGACTTGAGAGGCAGTGGTGAGATCAGACTGGAGGAACTGGCGTCAGTTGCCAAAGACTTGGGCATCCGATGCAGCAAAAACACCTTGAAAAAAGTCTTCCATGCTGTGGACTCGGATAGGCGAGGCATGATCCATTTTGATCAGTTCAAGACTGTGTACTCGATGCTCAGTACGCAAGAGAAGGTCAAAGAGTTACTTCCGGAAGCCAGTGCTGCGTTCATCGACTACAGGAACAGTGTGGAGCAGGACCCGTCTTTTGCAAAGCATTTCCCGATGCCGCAAAGTTACGCCGCGGTGTCAAAGTATAGCAATCACTTCCATGCCACCGTCGAAACACTTCGATGGGTTGCGGACGGTCAGTTTCTCGCCGCCACTTCGGAAGGGAAGCTGCTTATTTTCAACGCTGCGAACCATGCCGATGAGCCCATCAGACAATGTAGCGTAGTCGGGACGCCTCTATACTGTATGGATGCGTATCCCGGTGGTGCGGGCATCCTGGTAGGACTTGGTAGCAAGGCAGACAATTTATACCTCTGGGACATGGGCGAGGAGCAAATCAAGCAGCCGTTTATGCAACAGGGTCCTATTGTCGCTTGCTCTCTTGCGAACGAAATTGCCTTGGCAGGATCCAGTGATGGTTCAATAGGGATGCACGATCTAGAGACCGGGACTTGTATCACTACCTGGCCAATGCACGAAAGCCACGTGACATCCATCAAGATCGACCATGACGGACGCAGGGTGTGCAGCACCTCGCGAGATGGGCGTGTCGTTGTCTTCGACCATAACACATCAAGCATGGCCTCATGTGTGATGGCAGAAATTCCTGACGCAGCTGCTGGCTACGCCGTGTATGATGCAGTGTGGTGTGGCGACACGGAGCTGCTCACTGCGGGTGATGACTTCTGCATTAAGCGATGGGACATCCGCAGGCCAAATGATCTTCCAATGGCTAGATACATGGGTCACACTTCCTGTGTGAGGAGCCTTGCCGTGTCCTCTGATCGGCAGCTCTTTGCTTCAGGCACTTCCGACAGCAGCGTTCGGTTGTGGACACTTGACCCTTCGGGTGCAAGGGCAGCCTTGTCCGGCACCGAAGATGGCATCAGGATTACGGATCTTCTAACCGACCTGAAAGCACGACGAGACATGGCTGTTGAGCTTGTGCATGCAGGTGAGGGAGATCTCGAGGAAGTACGTGAACTGACACAGGAGATCGAGCATTTGGAAGCCAGTGTGGTCGGACACCAAGGCAGCGATGAGGAGATCATCGATGTTCATGGAAACATTCGCGCAGTCCTCGGCCTCCCTGGACACTCGTTGACTGTCGGTACACTGGCGTGGCAAACCGCAGGACCTGGGCAACATCGCCTGATATCTGGTGCTCAAGATGAGTTTGTTCATCTCTTCGAATTTTCAAACAACCATGTCGTGTCAGGCTTAGCAGACATGACCCGTCAGTGTTCAGCACATTGAGCCTTTAAACGTGCAAGCTGGAACTTACACAGAATCTGGTTTTGTGGGCGCTTGCTCGCCTAGCTGCCTGCCACCTTGCCAGTCTCAGCTGCACAAAGCAGCTGCAAGCGTGGTGCTACCAAGTTCTGTGCAGTCTTGCTGTTCAGATGTTCCGTTGTACCATAGCTGTTTACAGTTCTCGTCCACTGCAACAAACCCAGACAATGCAGCGCAAAGACACGTTTTGCATCAGCCGCCTGACTCGGCGGGTCCCCAGATTGGCTGCTGCTGAATGGCCTGAGCAGGCACAGAGCAGGGCAATTACTGGTGGTGATGGCGGCAATGATGACCACTTGACTGTGATGAAGACTGTAGATGATATCGAAGATGTTGGCATCAAGCAGAGAACGACCACAAGAACGAGAGTGTGGAAACACGCTTCGCACTTGTTCGTATCTTCAGAAACGCTCTTCATACTGTGGTATAGCATGGTGGCCATGCCAAGAACGAAGACAAGCAGATGAGCACGCATGCGCCGACAGGGGGAAGCGCAACCACTCTTGCACAATCCCATATTCACATGTTTTCTTGAACCACGATGACTTCGCGTCTCGCATAATCTGATGTTTCACATCATTGCATAGCAATGCTGGTGCTACCTGGTTGACGACTTGAGTCACAGGCTATTCGCTTGTGACTCGTTCGGATTTCTTCTTGCGGAACTTTGCCAAGGTGGGCTCCGCGGCGATGCCGAGACGCGGCCTCCCTCGATTGTCGGGTTCTTGGTCATCGATGCTTTCGGGTGCATTTTGCAGCCGCTCGTCTACAATGCCACGCCGAACAATCCGTGAATGGTTTCCGTTCCCCAACTAAAAACCCCAGATGCACCTGTGGGATCGTACCAAGGGCGATGACCGGGTGCGGGCAGATCGTGGCGCCAGCACGAGAGGCAGCAACTCGACAGAGCAACTGAACAGTAACTACTATACTATGATATAATATAACATAACTGTACTAAACTATGATATAATCTTATATGCTGGTATCTTGAAGAGTGAATCAAACTGCAAGGTCAGAGCCCTGCAGCCCTTGTGCAAAGGGCCAACGTATATGATGTATTTTGGGACACGGCTCCGATTCTTACATCCTCCGTTAAAACGCGATCTTGACGATTGCCGGTCTGGGTTTTGAATCTCTACACCACACCTGATAGCATTAGTGTAAGCAGCTGAAGATTACCACTCGCATCCACTCGCCGTTGCAGTGTACGTTTGAAGCCCCGGCAGGTGGTTTCGCTCAGACAGTACGAGCAGACAGGCAGACCTGCCGCAAGTAGGTAAGGTGAGAGTGAGGGAGGGAGGAGCCAGAGAGAGAGAGCGAGAGAGTCTGGACGTGGGGTAGGCCCCCAGCAAGCAAGCAAGCAGGAGACTGGACGTATGGGTTCGTTGTACGAGGACGATGGGAATGTCCTCGTCTTAGGCCTGTTGCCAAGCACGAGAGAAGGAGAGAGAGAGAGAGAGAGAGAGAGAGCGAGAGGAGCGCATCCGGGGGATCTCGACAGTCCCACAAGCTGTGGAAGAAGGAGCGGGCTCGCACTGGCGCAAGGGGAGGGGTCGCGCCCCTTCCCCCAGCAAGATAAAGAGAGAAGTCATCTCACAAGTCCAAATCCGGACCGGTCCATTTGAAAGTCCAGTAGGGAAGTTGCAAAGCTTGTTGGGCCTTGACCCGATCTGCGGGGTGATATGTGGCGATCGCAAAGGGCGGCAGCATGCCGTGGACACTGCACCTTCTCAAGTGACGTTAGCAGTTAGCATCTCCGCAGACCAAGCGTGCTCCAGCACCTGACGACTTGAAGTTGCGAAGGCGGTTCATGGACATGCCTGCGGAGGACACCTTCCGCAGCAGCTGCCTCAGCATGGATGAAACTCTGGGGACATCTGTGAGCAGCGTTAGTCATGCCAATGCCATTGCCATCCATGGCCTCTTCGCAATGCTCTCACCCGAAGTGGCAAACCCAGGTGGTGCGTCGCGGGCTGCAAACTCAGGGCATGCACGGCCTTTCAGGTTCTTGCGACTTTGAAAGGGGGTGCGGTGAAATTCATACTGAACCATCGCGGACTGTCTAGACTTGGCCTGGCAGGCGGGTTGCCGTGTTGATTCGTAAGGGTGCACGCGGCAGCAGCCGGCCAGCGACAAGGTACGTGGCCCGACTGAAGCCAGGGCTGCTCGAGATCGCTGCTCGGCTGCAGCGAGGAGCAAGTCTCGCCTCCGCCTTCGCATGGTATGGGTACTCGAATTTCTGCTTTGCACGTCGTTGCCATCGTCGCGTCGCCGTGGCTGCGCTTGTGGCTTTGCCGTGCTAGAGGAGAAACTCGCGTTGAGGTCATGAGGCTAAGTGTAGAGCCCATGCTGCCCGCTCTTTTTCAATTGACTTCGTTCTCTCATGCAGCCTTCCAAACCCTCCAAGGTAGCTTTGTTCACGAGTTTTAGAACAGAGTAAGAACTCCCCGCGCAAGCTCAATCAATGGCTTTGTGGCCAAGCTGCTTTCACTAAAGCAGCGCAGACATAAACCGGTCACGGCCTGTCGTTCCCTTTTCTGAGATTCGATGCCTCGGACATGTCTCCCTGAAATTCCTTTTTTTCAACCTTGCTACACACAAGGCTGGCTTCCCTGTTGTTGTGGTTCCCCCCGTGGTCCGGCAGTTGCAGGCCCATCTACCTCCACGTCGAGCCCGCGGAGCGGAGGGGATCAGGATGAGCTGCCACGGGGGGCTCCTCGACCAGACCTTCGCCGAACAAACATGTTTGTCGGTTTTGCACTGGGGTTTGATCGATCGTTGGGCTATTTCTGCGAGCCTCCGTGTGAAATGTGAAACTGGAGCCACGAGAAGACACTCTGATGCGGTGGAACGGCAGCCGACTGAACGACAAGCCCAACTTGCACACAAGCCCGATGCCATTCCGTGATCCCGACCGCAGCTAGACTTCCTGTGCGCTGAGGCACAGAGTGCTGACTTCAGGCCTTCGCAATCTTGGGGGATCTTGTTTCTCCTCCGGCACGAGTTAGATCACGTCAGCACGCCTGTTCAATCTGATATGAGCTGAACAAGTCCTGACAGTGGCCGGAGGAGCCATGAGATGTTATGTTCGAGCTTGCAGGTAGGTCAACCATGAAGCCGATTTAGTTTTGTTGATGGAACCCTGTTCGATTGGGTGCGGCTCGCACGAGAGGACGCTTCAGAGCATGATCGCGCAGGGCATCGTCGAGTCTTGCGTCTCAGGAAGGGGTTATATGCTGTAGCAACACTGACATGAGGGAGTGGCAGCCAGCAACACGTCGGCATGAGACACCAAATTGTTGGTAGGCTCTTCCAACCTTGATGTTGTTTTTTTTACTTCGTGGTACCTATGCGCTACGACGCTACGACTTTGAGGAACTTTAAGGCTGGGGTGCCTTTGGGGTTTTCCACATCACGCGGCAGTCGTGGCGTGGCAGGAAGTTCCCTTCAGACCTGCTGACTTGGTATGATTGATTGGGTCTTCAGAGGGATATGGATAGGGTGCTGCAATGAAAGTCTCCTTCTCCTTCGCCTTCTCTCTTTCTTTCTTTCTTTCTTTCTTTCTCTTTCTCTTTCTCTTTCTCTCTCACTCTCTCTCTCTCTCTCTCTCTGTCTTTCTCATGGAAGAACACTATCGCAGCATTTCGGTTCTGTTCACACAACCGATGAGCTTTCCCAACTGCATTGTCCCGGCCACATTTGCGGAGGCGGGCGCTTGTGGCGTCTTAACCGTTAGCCCGTTAGAGATAGAGATGGAGCCGCGAAGTGGCCAGTCTCGCGATGCAGTCACGAGTACTGGGTTGCGGGTCGAGCTGGGCAGTAAGGGCAGCAGCCGAGTCCCTTGTGAGAAAGCGAGATACAGAACGAGAAGGAAGGCATCGAGTTTGGCAGCGTTGCATCGTAGACGACTCGGATCCGATAACCATCGACAAGGGTGCTCATGTGCGTTGCAGCAGGCAAAGGCCCCATGAGCTGCGAACAGGATTCTGGGTCCAGGAACTGCTCTCTTACACGCGAGGCCTGCAGAGCCCATGTTCTTGTTTGGGGGCAGCGGCTCGTCAGGGTGTTGGCCTGAGATGCTCAGTGCCGAGATTCGAAGTGTCGGAGCTGTCTGTGGTGTTCACTGCTCGCCCGTCACTCTCAGGCAAAGCGAAGCTGGCGTTGCGGAGGACCGCTCCTAACTAGAGTTTAGGCAAGACTGGCGCTGAGGCTTTCAGCAGGTAGCACAGGGTCACTTTCAGCAAAAAGGAGAAAGGAGGGGACGTTTGAAAGCACACCAACCTTCCCTTCCAAGTGCCTGCAGGACTTGCAGCAGGAGATCCTGGACAGAGATGAAGAGATTGCGGAGCTGAAGGCGGGGGCAGTCCTTGGCCCGGATCATCCTTATCTCAAGCCGGGCCTCTTACAGGCCAAGATCGAAGCATATCGGGATGCCCTGGAGTCGCTTGGCACCGGATCTGCTCACATAACAGCAAGCAGACCATGGGATTCGAGATCTCGTGCCGGTGTAGGACCCCGCAAGGCAGAGTTGAGCCTTCTAGTACTGGCAGCATGACCGTGCACAGCGATGACGTGGGCAGCGATTATGGAACCCAGGAAGGAACCTCACTTCGAGCACTTTGAGATGGCCATGGAGGAGAAGAACAAGGTCCGGAAGCCATGCGCAGGGTCGTTGGTCTCCCGTATTCTGCGCTCTTTAATGAAACAGTCTGTGGTTGCACAGGCTTTATGACTCGCTTGGCAGGTGCTGGAGGAGCAGTTTATCAAAGTTCAGGAGCCTTGAAGAGATCAAGCATTGTGGGTTCGAGCGGCAGAGAGAAAAGCTGCGGACAGGAGCTCACGAAGGAGAACCAGTCCCTGTTGGAAAGATTGCAGCCACCTGAGTTTGCCGGCTTTTTGCACTCATTCTGAGGCTCGTGGTGGTGATCTCCTTTAGCTGGTGACATGTGCAGTGAGCCGATGTCGAACAAGGCCCAGGTCGGATGAAGAAGGTCGTGGAAAGGGCTAGAAAGGGTTAAACTGCGCTTCAGCACCAGCACAAGGCCCGGGTTACTTCGTTCGCTTTCTACTCGTCTGAGATTTGGTGTTCAGCCGGACGGAACCTCACCGCAAGCTTGTTGAGGCTTCAAGCTGGTCCCCTGACGAGCCGTACTTGCTTGGTAAACTTTAGGAAGCGATGTGCTGATTGAAAATTGCAGCATGCTGGATTTCAAGTAATTACGTCATTACGTAACAGCTGCTGAATATGCCTCGCGCCCAGAATGTCAAGGCAGACTGCCGGGCCAGCGGGCGCCCACGAGGCTGGGAGCTCGCAGTGGTAGAAAGAAGCGCTTGTATGATGTTGTGCGCATAGCCAGCACCGCTGAGTGTTTGGGCAGGCGTGGATGTCATGGCCCGTCCATGTACTGGTACTAGGTGTCGATGACTTTTTGGCAGGGCCCAGAGAGCGGAAGCCCTGAGATGGAGGAACAGCGACAGGCTGGGCCCCTCCCCTTGTGACCGAGAGATTGTAACTACTCACAATTTATGCCCCAATGTCATCGCCGCATGCCGCAAGTCCCGAAGTTTGACCAGCAGTCGCTTCTGCCCTTCAACCTATTTTGTTCACAAACTTTGCCGCAAGCTAGCAGTTGTGGCGCAGGATCAAGAGACGAATGGCAACTCCCCATTGGAGGATCTTGTCACAGTTTGCAGAAGCACCCGTGTTGGTGTGGCCAGTGGATTGTTCAGAACTTCCGAAGCATTTGAAGTAGCCGGCTTCCCTGCAATTTCGGAAGGACGAGCTCTCGAGAGCGCCCCGGCAGCAGAGAATGTTTATTTGCAGGTTGTTGCAGGTTGTTTTGCCATCTTACCAGATTTGGGGGCGCGGGAGGGGGCAATGCTGTGCACAGCTCTGTTGGAGTGCATGGCTGCATACGTTCGGTGGACCGTTTGCAAAGGCCAAGTCGAATGTATGATTACTCCATTGCTCGACTCCCTCATTCAAAATCGAGGGATGGTGGGTAGCATGCGTTTTCAACGCATTCGAAATCCAGGTGAAGGCAGAGCTGGAATCGGTGAAGGCAGAGCTTCAATCAAGACCGCTACCGCCACTTGGAAGTGATTCAGCTTGCATCGCCGGCACGCTTTTCTCATCTGAGTGCATGTAGCCATAGTGGAGGCCCCCGTGCTAAAGCAAAGTCGCGACTGGCGAGGGACTGTGTCGTGAAGACTCTCAGTTCCTGGCGCTCCGGTCTAGCCGCAACTACTACTGCCGATAAGGTCCAGCCAGCCAGCGGGTGATATGCAGGACTGATGAAGGGTAGACCCTGTGAGCTGTCCATTTTGCAATCCTCAGAATCACCAGCTCTGTGCTCGGGGGTTTAGGTGGGAGGAGAACGTGGAAGCTGCACAGGCAGCAGGCTTCGTGAAGCCTTAGAGGTGGCATGCCTTCACTCGCCTCTCTGCTGCCGTCGGCTCGGAACATTGGTCGGCCAGCCGGGTTGAGGGCTGCATCAGCTTCTTAACATCCCACAGTCCCACGATTTGTGCCATGATCCCTGTGACGTGGATGCTTGAATTGGCCTTCTCCTGCGATTTGACATCTACATTTGCAGAGGAGGAGAGTGTAGCTGAAGTGGCTTGGCATGTACAGAACCGTTTTCGATGATTGGGTGAATCGTGCTGTGCCAAAGATCATGTAAAGCGCTTTGTGAAGCATGCTGAGCTCGAGAGACGGCAGCGCCTAGAACATGAGGTGGGCGCAGAGGATACTGGATGCCGTTGCCAACAGATGTTGGTGTCGCTTTCAGATGAGGCGGGGGTACAAGGCTTAGATAGTTCCATCGACTTTAACGTTAGGTTGGTCATCCCAAGCAACCCGAGGATCTGGTGTCCATGGATTCGCCATCCTTCCCAAGTGTGGAAACACATAGCTCCAAAGACACTCAAGACGGTCGTCATCGTGCTCGGCCCCGTAGCAATCACAAAATCGACAAAGTTATTGCGCAACTCCGCACAAAACGGGTTCATGCACGTGCAGAGCTTCTTGAGTTTCTGGCCATCAATGGCTTCGACGTGCGAGACGTCAACTGCAAGAAACGCACTCGTTGGGGGCTTGGTTATACCTATCCGCTGCATATGGCAGCGGCACAGGACCGGCCCCGCATCGTAAGTCTGTTGCTGCAATGTGGAGCAGATGCTATGGCAAAGGATTCAAGCGGGCGCAAGGCAGAGGAGAATCTCGGCCTTGCATTCCGCAGACCTTTTCTTCTTCTTTTTGTGCAGTTTGATATCTGGCTCTGGCATTTTGTCTCGAGTGAAGAAGTTCTTGCTGCTCTTCTGTCGGTTTCACCACCGGCTCGACCTTGTGAGTAGAAGTTTCAGTCTGACTCTGCTTACATGTCCCTCTTCCCCTTGCTCACATGACACCCCTCTCCGACTTCTGCAAGGGTGGAACCGTGAACCTTCTTGTATCAGGGGTTTGTAGGCTTTGACGGGAGTAGATACTACTGCATCTGAGGATGGCCATCAGCGAGTCCGTCCGCGCAAGCTTTTCATGGCGCAAACACACTCGAAGAGTGCTTTGGAAACTGTGAGGCGGGGAAATCGATCTCCGTATGCTTTTGCGTCTGTCCGTCGTCTGCTTGTCTGTGTAATCTCCCAGGACCCCTCCCTCCCCTCCTCTCCCTCCCCGCTCGTGCAAGAGTCGCAAGAGCCTTGATGCCGCGCCCTGGGAAGGACCAAGATGCTTTGGGACACTTGTCATGCAGAGAGTCATCTAAGTGACCATGAGCTCGTTGTTTTGTTGCAAAGATTAACTGTGGCCTTGTTGCACAAATCCTTTAATTCTAGCCGAAAGCTTATTCCATCTGTGGCATTCGATACCTGCTGGCCGTTTCAGGTAACGCATCTGCCCGATCGGCCATGCGGGTTGTCTTGTCTTGGGAATCACTAGCCGAGGGAGTGACATCGAGACGACAGGAAAACTGACAATCTTTGGAGTCGGAGCCCCATGCTCCCAAATCGATGTCGTTGTCCTTCCTGAACCCAACGTTATCTCGGTAGCCATAACTTCACCATGTCCGTTTGAGTGCGGACATCTGCGCAAACTTTGGATGGTACTTGGCCTGAGTGTTCTGGGCGCCGGCCAGACAGTCGTTCCCCACCCGTCCCCGCACAACTGCCCAAAAAAGCCAGCATGTTTGCAAAACACACTCATGAATGAACGACTTTCTTGATACGATTGTGTGTGCGAAGCACACATGCGATGTCGAAGTCTGGATGCTGCGGGTGGGGCCCTCCCGAGGACTGACAACCCCTGCGATTCTTGTGCAGTGAGCTGAGGATTGGTTTTGGCCTCGTCACAGCTGAAGCTTCCCAGGCCCGCCTGGTTAACAAATGGGCCGCGTTCCTTTCAGAATGATCTCGAGCAGACATGCACTTTTCGCCGTCACTGGCTAAAGGCTCATTGCTCCAGAGCTTTCTCTTGTTTCCTGGCCGTTTTGATCTACATGGATGCCCAGACCGGCCGGGCTGGTCCCACTTCAAGCCCCGAATTCTTTTCATGGTTGTAGTGCATTGATTGATACTGGCACCGACAACAGGCGCAGAGGCGAGTCTCGCCTGGTCTTGCCTGGGCGACGGTAGATCTTCACTTAATTATGTCTTGTCGCGACAGTGCGAAGCAGCAAGCATGCATGGGCCATGTTCAGCTTTTGCACGGAGTCGCTTTGCAGTACTCTGCTTCAGTCCTGGGCATGTTTAGTGCCCCCATACTGGTCAGTGATCCTTGGCGAAAGAAAGGTCACTTATGATGCTTGTGTGGGTCAAGAAGAATGCACAGGTCCAGCCAAGGTGCCTCTGACTGGAGACAGTTTGGACCTCCCAGCAACGGGAGTGCAGTTGACTATGGTCACTAGTTGAATTTGAAGGCGCAATGCTGGAAAGGGATGCTGCTTCATGCGGCAAGGCATCAACCTCGTACAGTAAGTAGCATTGTTGGCCCTGCATAAACCCTTGAACACAGCAATATGACCCTGCATTGCAGTTGCACGGGCTTAGACCTCGCCAGGCGGGAGGCAATAAAGACACTTGTTCAGGTCGGTGAAGTAGCGCTTCCTGCCAGCATGTTGCAAAAGGGTCGGGCTCCAGCATCAACTGGCAGTACTGCCGAGATGCTGTCCCAAGGCCCCGGCGGGACTGGCCCGAAAAGGCCGTCGCCTGCTGGGAGCTACAGTCATCTCGGAAGCTTGTGCGGTGAATTGTGCCGCGAGCGCCGTTTCGCTAATTGGATGCTGTCCCACTTGGGAGTGTCGTTCATTTCAACCTTTGCACAGCCTATGCAGGATGCCATGAGTTCAGCGACCACGTCATCACCATGTCGGGTTGGGACTGGCGGGGGCTTAAGTACAGGCTTAAGTGGGACATCGCCGCCTCGATGGCTATGCCGATTTGAAGGCACGAACACTGTGCCAACCTCCATCAATGAAAGTGATCCGGTGGGAAGCTTGCGTGAAAGAAAACATATGCCCTGCTCCAAAGCATGGCGATTTCGATTGCGATGGGGAGAACATGCAAGCGGCCATCAGAACACTGCATTTGAGGGTTGCTTTGCAGCTGCACTGCAACTCCTTGGGTCTTGCAAACCTGAGAATCACATTCAGCTTTTGTACTTTCGCATTGCGGGCGTCTATTGACTACTGTAGGTGCGGCCCAAGCAGTGCTCGTGGCAGCTGGCCCTGAGTGACTCTGTTGAGTCAGATTAAATAAAGTTTCAAGACAAAACAAGATTGAGGCCAAAGGCGGAGCTTGGTGTGCGGAGCACCTCTGCTCAGACAAGGTGGATGTTATGGAGTGCTTGCCGCAGCACCTGTTGGCCAGCCTAATTCGTATCGCGGATAGAGGCCCAATGCGCTGGGAAAGGAAACATCAGTAAACCATAGTAAACCAGGCAACTGAACGAAAGAGAAGTATGATCCAGTGACAGTGTTCTTTGGTTTTGCCGCGCCGACAAGTGTCCCACGATAACCGCAGCCACAGACAAACAGCCAAAAGAGGGGTATGGTCAGGGTGGGGGTTGGAGTTTGGGATGTGAAGCCATGATTCATTGCGGCTAGGGCTTTAGGTGAGCTTGAGAAATTAGCCCATCACTGCAGCTCAAATCAAAGCTGCGTTTTCATATCTCCCTCCGGCCTCGGATTTACTCGGACGGGCGTCGCATGCTACCCACCACTTCTTCTAGTTAGACCGACCCTTGCCCGGTGAAACCAACTTGGGGAATGCGCAGGCAGGTGCGGGGCAAGGGTAAAGCAAGGCAAGAGCACGGGGAACTTGACTCCACACCCCGTGGACTTAGCTTCCGACTGGTTCAGTGCAATTACTAGGATTGAGCGAAGAACGAGATGCTGAGGCCGTTTATCCACTCGTAGCTTGCATGGGTGTCGAATGGTGTCAAGAGTTTGGCAGGCGACAATGCCTGCGGCAGGTGGCATACCGTACGACAAGCTCGAGGGCCATACTTGTATGAGACACATCGATTCATGTCTATAGGTCCTCTTTCCAGCACAGAGTACACAAGAATGATGGTGTACCAGCATTGGGATTTGTTTACATCGCTGCCTGCCGTAGAAGAACATCGTCTCTTTCAATCAATTTCTCCTGGCCGAGATGTGAGAACAGTTTCGTTGGGCAGCACCGCGCGTCCGATATGCGCCGCATCCGGCCGGGGGCTGACGTGCTCCAGCCTAGTTGCAAAACCGGCTCGTCCTGTGCAGCAGTGGGCGATTCATGCAAGAGCCGCCCCCACTCCCCTCCGCTTACTGCTTTTACTAACCCGAGCTCCGTTGCATTGGCGTGCAGGAGGATCGCAGCCTCGGGGAAAACCAGGAACGCCTGAGGTCACTGGAGGACGCAGGGGTCACGTGTTCAGCGAGGATCACTTGTTGCTTTTACTCTATTACTTTTTGCGCAGAGGCCCCTGCCAAGTCACCAAACCCATCCGGAAGCTGATCCTAGTTACTCGCTTCATTCGCTCCAGTGCCACTACCATCCACCAAGGAACGTCGTGGCAAGCTCGATTGGGAGTGTTGTGTAGGAAACTTGATCGGGAAGACACTCCTGTTGTGATCCACATCGTAGCTTTACCGCCTACCGTGGAAGATGTCTTCTGGATGGGTTGTCGCAATGTTGCAATGCATGAACCAAGCACAGGAGCAGCTGCAAGCAGCCGAATTGGCCAAGCATCTTGTCTGCATCGGCAGAAGCATTGGAGAGACTCGGTCCCTAATATTAATTAGAATAGGGTTTTCGGGTATATTATACATTATTAGACTATAGCCCAAAATAGTATTATAGCATCAGGCCCTGAAGCGGAACATGTCCAGGCCATTCTCGGCCTCCAGACAGGCGACAAACAGGAGCCTAAAGCCCAATTGGCGCAAGCACTGATGCTAAGGCATCAAGTCGTAAGCCCCCTTGTGTATACACCCGAAAGCCCGGCTTGTCGATCCTGAACCCCCCCCCCCTGTCAACGTTTAGGGTTCTTTTTGAGCAGGCGGGAGTCCGACGAGGCGCGCGCAGCCTGCATGGCACAGCTGGCAGCACTGGAATCAGAGGCCCGTTGTGGCTTGGGCTTAGGGAGACGAAAGATGTCTACTGTAGGGTCTTTTTTTATACAAGTTTGCAGGGCAGGCGTACACAAGCTGCATAGATCGGACGAAATCTCTGCGTCAACGAAAGCCTTCTCAGCGTATTTGGTATCAGAATGGACATAGATGCAGATCCGAGGTCTCCTGTTCTCTCTCATGCTATTATTCCTGCGCTTTTCGCTTGTCCTGTGTTGACTCTTGGTGTCCCTGCTTGTTGATGATCCAGGCGGTAGCAGGGGCTGACGTGACAAAAATCTGGCGGCACAGTATAAGATTTTGTGCGAGTGCGGTTAACCGCACTGGGCAGCTGCGATTTATGGTTGACGCTTCTTGCTGCAGGTTCCGGAGTTGCGTGGCAAACTAGCTGAGCTTGAGGCCGTTTGCACATAATGCTGCATGGCTGGCGCGGTGACACTCGAGACACACTGGATGAATACGAAGGCCATGCGAAATTCCGCCCTCGAAGCAACAGAAGAAGTTGAGCAACTCCAGCTCGAGATGGAGATGCTTCGGGAGGAATCTGCGGAGGCAGGCAACGCATGCAGCGGCAGCGCTGTGCGGATAATCCATGGAATCCATGCCGGCTGCGTTTCTCATCTCTTTTCAAGCCTCGAGCCTCAGGTGCCGGCACTCAAGGCACAGATCGCAGGTGTGGAGGTGCGGAACTTGCCCGTTGCTTTGTTCCGCCTGTTTTTGTGACGACCTCTTAGAGAGCCTGCTGACACGAATGTTGACGGTGGTCTCGCAGCCAAATCAGGCGGAGCATGCTGCTTTGCAAGATGCCGCCGCAGCATCTGCAGAGCTTCACCAAAAGCTGGAGAGGCTGCAGGAGGAAGCTGCGCAGGCCGGTGAGATACGGAAATATTTGTGCGGTTGGGGTGTGGTTGTGGTTGCAACGGACATGAAACATACGAGACGTGAGAGAAATTGAGAGGCCAAGCGTGTCAAAGATGGGAGTCTAGAAAAGTGTTTGCTGGATCTCCCCAGCTTGGCGAACCGAACCCCCAGCTTCGAAAATCCGGTAGAGATTGTGTTTTTCTCCCTGAGAATCTTGTGCGCAGACTGTGGTCAGGTGCATGAGATGCGGAGCAGGCTGGCGGAGCTCGAGGTGGGGAGACGCCAGTTTGGCCGGTGAGTGAAAGTGGTGTTCCTGGCACGTGCACGGCGTGCTGCGCAGTTTACGGCAGGCGGAGCGCGAGTCTGCCCACAAAGCGCAAGCGGCGGCGGAGCAACTTCAGCAAGAAGTTCAGCGACTGCAAGCAGAAGCTGCGGAGGCACAGGCAAAATTGGCCGACAGCGAGGTGGGGGCCGTGGTGTACACAATTACTGAATGTTGTGCGCAAGCATATACCGCTGCCGGCAAACAAAAACCGGGTGCAAGGCGCAATGCGCAACTGCCGCCCAAGATGCCGCTGGTTCTGCAGAGCTGCAGGAGGAGGTGAACCGTTTGAAGTCCGAGATCGCCCAGGCTGGGCCGACTGCAGGGCCCAAACCGCTGCAGCGCAGGGGAACCCGAAAGCCTGTTCAGGTGCCCGAATTGCAAGCAGCCGCCGAGAAACTGCAGCTGGAAGTCGAGAGACTCACGGCTGAAGCAGTGGAGGTCCCGATCTCAGAGCTTTAGGACAGCAAGATTCAATCCATGGAACTGACTTGCATGTCATCCGCGGTGGCGCTGTCGGGATGGCCAAGGGTTTAGGATGGTTTGGGTAGGGTGATTCGGAGAGTGCTCGTTAGTCCCAAACTTGAGTCACTCGAAAACAAGCGCATCGACAATCTACCTAAACCCGTGATAGTGCATGATGCCGGGAAAACCCGTCACGGTTGTGACCACGAACCGGGCAAGCATGTACCGGGGTTCAGCAACATGAGCGTGCGCTGCCTGTGGTGTCAAGGCACAGCGGGCAGCTGCCTTGCAAGATGCTGCGGGCATGGCCGAGCTTCAGCAGCAGTTGGACCGGCTTCGGTCCGAAGCATCGGAGGCCGACGGGAATCTGACGGGACAGGCTGCCCCCCGTGGTGACACAGCAACTGCGCATATCATGTTCATGTCCTCCGCTGCTCTGCTGGGCAGGTGCCCCATCTGCGGTCCAGGCTGGCGCAGCTCGAGGTAGCTCGGACGTTGAAACATGATTGTAGATGACCTTCACTCCGACCCCTAGCCACACGGTGTCACGCCTGACTCAATCATGGCTTGTTAAGTTACCATAAAGCGCATTGATGCTTGCCTGCGGGGCACCTTGCCACAAATCTCCAGAAGTCTGAGGCCCCTGCAACCGGGACGGCTGTCGCAGCGCCCGCCGCTGTCAGCGGAGGCAGTTCAGCCGGCTAGCTCCGTCAGCATTTGTGGCCATACGGCTATATAGCAATGTAGCGCAATCAACCAATGTCCGTGCTAACGTCCCACCCGCCTGCATCAGCGCTCATCCAAGATTAGACAAGCTCGAGTGCCTACTGTACTCTGTCCCATGAACCGATCCATGAGCCTTTCGAGGCATGAACCGTTCGAGGCAAGAGAAAGCCAACAGGTTAATGAGTGCACATGGTGACACGGCTTTGGTGACAGATGAGGTTTCGATTCAACCACGGAAGGTCTGGCTCGAAGAATGCATAGGAAGGACATCTCTGCTGCGGAAGCAAAACCTGTCATACTCGTATGCGCAGCGAGGTGAATGCATGTAATGCACGTTTCAGTCTATCATGACACACAAACACACACAAGGCAGAGAAAAGACTTGCTGCTTAGGCAGCCAGGACACAGTGCATGGTCTGCCTTCAGTTCCGGACAGGGGTCCTGACAGCATCATGCTTCCAGTTCAGATGCGTTGTTGCTCGACGTGAGACATCAGAGACTTGTCTGTCAAGAGGGAGGGTGGGGGCAGGGCGTGGGGCCGTGCTGGGGACGGCAAGCGCGGCTGCAAACCTGTTTTGGGGAAAGCCGTGTAACATATGGGCTGTGCATGTTCATACACTGTGTTTGCCTCATTTGTTGCCGACAGAAGCTGATCCGTTTTGGACACCTCGGAGGTGCAGACGGCTGGGACGACTTTGATTTTGACACGGACACGGTGGCCCCTACCACTGCAGCAGCTTGATCATTGACACTCGAGTTTTGTCCCAAGTAGGTCATCGCCACAGTGGGCAGTGTGCAAGCTCCTGGTCGCAATCGTCTTCGTAGCAAAGTCTCAGCGGGGTTTGCTCGGATGTAGCCCGAAGTGTGCCTGCAAAGCAGCAGAAATTCCCAAAAGCGGCTATCGTCCGAGCCAGGCAACACCTCTCACATGTCGAGTTTCACGTATTCTGCAGTGGTCGACAAAGGCAGTGAAAGCCGATGCTGGTCTTGGCGCAGGGGAGGAGGACGAAGGCACGTTGAGCGATGATGATGATGATGATGATGATGATGATGCTTTTTTGTCTTAACGACAGCCCCCATCAGCTCCTTGTTGTAGCTTCGTGTGGGCGCAAGGTGGGGATGGCTGGGCAAACGACTTGGACCTCGGCCACTCGACTCATGTGCGAGATGAGTACGTTTGTCGCCCTTTGGGTCTGTGCACGTTGCTTCCGAATCATGTTGGCATCCTCTGCAAAGGAGCCGAGCTGGCTATGGGAGCAGCTCATCTCCAAGCAGATTCCTGATTGTTCGGATCAGACGTGAGTGATTGCCCACGTTTCTAAGCTGCTGAGCTCAACTATCTCGGTGACAGCCCAGGAGCCTGCATGCTCCCAGCCGCAAGCGGCTGTGGCATCTGCCGAACTGGAGAAGCTCAAGTCCGAAGCTTCGCAGGTGGGCCAATTGACTTGTCCTCACGATCTCCGAAGCAGCGTGAGCGAGAGAGAGAGAGAGAGAGAGAGAACAAAATGTGTTGAGGTAGGTTGAACGGTGTACCATCGGGGGAGTCTCGTCCAAAGTCTCACGCCGACGAGTGCTGGACGCTGGACGTTTAGAGCCCCTGCTGGGGGAGGCACTGCTCTGCTGAGCAAGCAAGCAAGCAAGCAAGAGCAAAAGCAAACAGTAGAAACAGTACCATGGTAGCCTCGCAAGCAAACGCGCTGCATCAGGCGTTGAATGCGGCAGTAGACCAGCAAACACAAATTTCCCATCCAAAGGCAGATGAGGCCAGGAGTTTGTTTCTGAGAAATGGCGAAGGGTGGACGTTATTGGCTTGTTGACTTTCTTGCACAGGAGACCACTTCCAAATGTGTTTGAAATCTACTGCAAACTTTCCAAATTCAGACGGCGAGGCGATGTATTTGTGCAAAGATAGAGGACGGTTCTCCTGCGTGCTGCATCAGAATGGTAACGATGCGACATGCTTGGTACTTGCTTTTTGGATTGTTTGGAATCAGTGGCTGCGCCACAAGAGAACGAGCAGGTGGACAATGCTTCTTCGGCGTCGTAATAGTCCGGTGCCATCTAGCACATAGTACACTTCACATGGCGAACACGAGTCGTTAACAATGCAAGGCGCTTACAGGACCATGGCATGCATAGTGACTGGTGTCCGCAGTCCGCAGCACCGATAAAAGGCTTACGTGGGTGCTTTGGTATGATTTTCAGAAGAACTTCACTTGCAGAGACTAGCTGTAGCCGCGTTCAATTCAGAATGCTCACAGACGAACTGGTACTAGTAGTAAAATTAGCACAGTGGCAAGAGCATTTATTGCTTTCTTGGTAGTGGTAATTGGTATCAGACTTTTCGAACATACAATCCGAAGATGATGCACAATGCTGGTAATGATGTCACTTGCGCAAATAGTAACCAGCGACAACAGCCATGCAATGCAGGAGGCAAAAGCAATATAATTTCTCCAGGCATCCTGCCAAGCTTCTGCGTCTTACGGACATGACAAGCAAGGAATCACGCGAGAGTCAAGTGTGTCGCTGGAACGGTGATCTGCTAGGAAGCCACATCTACAGCTTTACCACCTGGGCAGTGATGTCTCACATCTTTCTGTACTTCGACATACTCAAGAACATCAAGGAACAGCAGGGACTGTTCGATCTCCCTCAACGATGGTCGAAACCCGTGTGTCAGGTGCATGAGATGCGGAGCAGGCTGGCGGAGCTCGAGGTGGGGAGACGCCAAGTTGGCCGGTGAGTGAACGCGGTGTTAACTCCTGGCATGCTGCGCAGTTTACGGCAGGCGGAGCGCGAGTCTGCCCTCAAAGCGCAAGCGGCGGCGGAGCAACTTCAGCAAGAAGT